AATAAATTGCGTAAAATTTTACTATTTTACTGAAATAAATTTCGTAAAATTTTAAATGATATATAAATTACTTTTTTGCCGTTGTATATTCTCGTGGAGGAGGATGAGCCAAATTTATGGTATTAACAGTGAAAATAGGTACGGTCATATCAGGCGGCATCCAACGGCTACGATAGTGTATACGACATCGCCGATTCCTCAGGACACAACGAGCATTATACTGGTAGGAGTGATGTGGCAGAAGGGTGGTATGAAGTTGATCAGTAATGGAGTTTCTTCACCACCCTAGTGATGTGAAAAACGTATATCACCGCGAATATCGCAGAGTTTTACGCCACTTCACGTGAAACTGGTCGTAAAAATTCCAGTGTTGGAGTAGGAATATATGTTTGCTTCCCTCAGTTGAGCTCGAGAGTTTCCAAAGCTTGTTATACGAATTCTGGTAGGAATGTACAGAAACCAATGAGAGTTTCCTCTCAGAATTTCCCCAACACATGTAGTTGACCATGTGTATATCTTCCCCCCTCACACACACGAGTTGTTATTATTAAGAATTATCAAGTTCAGAATAAAATTTCAAATTTTTCTTCATATAGTAATTATCACTGTTTGCTTTCCTCACCGAAGCTCAGGAGTTTCCTCGCTACTTACAGTAAAAATTTCTCGAAAAATTTTCACCAACACATGTAGTTGACCATGTGCATATATCCTCCTCCCAAACAGGTACCAATGGCAAACGGCAATCAGAGTGGTGGTCATCATCCTGCAGTGCCAATCATAGGGAGCTATCCGATACCACAATTTGATAATAATAACGGCCCTCCTCCAAGCCCTCCTGTAACACATCCTCCTAGTGGTCCTCAGAGTCTTAGGTGAGTTTATGTTGCTGATAAGAGTGGAGTTTTTAGACCCTACAGTGCGTTGATGAAAAATGACAAAACTCGGGACTCAACGAGCGAATGACAATGAAACTTGTGCTTCGGGAGCTCCTAGCCCGGGGAAACCGATTGGTATACCTGTAGTGAGATGAAAAACATATTTCACGAATACAAATATCGTGTGCTTTTTTCACAGAGTTTTACGACGCCACTTCACGTAAATTTCAGTAGCTGTTAATTGTGATATTTTATGTGAAAATTTTTGGGTAAAATTCTCATTCTGGGAATTTTTTGAGATCTATGGGATAATCCAAGTTTTGATCAATATCATCTCCTCGGTGAAAAATGTTCATTTTTTTCCGTAATGTTTGTCAATCGTCTTCTTGAGAAGGGGGTATGGTTGGAAACATTTAATCATATGTTTTCTATCACAGGATATCAGCGAACGAGGTGCAAAGATAGCTAGAAATTTTCAAAGGAATTAAATCGTATTGGTCGATGACGATAACCCTTTTGAGAAAATTTCATTTCTACTTTGGTGACACAAAAGGAGACTTTTTAGATAGTGCTTTGAATATTTTAATAATTGTGAAATTATGAGTAAATTTTAGATCCGTCCGCACCCATTCGGTGGCTTCCGAGGCGAGCTTTGATGGGACGCGGCCGGTTACTGTATGCATCGATAGGAATGTGTTCAAATCCTGGTTCGACACTGATGTGAGTCGGATGGGTTCATTATGGAGTATATCGTAATTTATTATCAATTGGTGTTGTAATATCATTGGAGTTTCACCCTAGTGATGCGAAAAACACTAGTGAAAAACATATTTCACGACTATTGCATAGCGCAAATATCGCGTTTTCACGGAGTTTTACGCCACTTCACGTAAAACGGGTGAAACTCCATTATAAGCTAGGTATATTATTATTAAAAGGTATTATTGGTTGTTATAATGGAGTTTTACGATCACCCGTTTTACACGAAGTGGCGGCGTAAAACTCGGTGAAAAACGTGATACTCGCGGTATGTTGTAGTCGTGAAATATATTTTGCACTAGTGTTTTTCACTAGGGTGGTCAAGAAACTCCAATGTAATGATTAAAATAAATAAATACTTTAGGTTTATTATTATTCATAAATATTAATATAATAATCACACCTCAATTTATAATTAGGTTTCAATGTAATGCACCTCGTGAATTTTCCCTATTACTGTGAGCGTTGAGGACAGCGAATCATCTAGGAACCTATAATGTTCCCGGAAAAAATTCATTTTGAATTTTCTGAATTCTTCAAGCGGTTTGCTATGTAAATGTGATCACATTGGAAACACTTTTCACTGGGGGGCGTCATTTCTGAGAGCTGTATGGGCGTCTAGTTCAGGATTGTACGGCTCTGTTGGTAGCATATTGCTGGTCAGATTGTGAATATACTAATTTCTTGTTGTTATTGCTAGTTATGGTGATAATGCAGTACGTGTGTAGTAGTGGTGGCGAAAGTGTGTCCGATGGAGTTTCACGACTCGTTTTATGTGATGTGGTGTGAAACTCCGTGAAAAACGCGATACTCGCGGTGATATGCAGTAGTCGTGAAATATGTTTTTCACATCACTAGGGTGAAGAAACTCCAGTGTTTGATTAACGATGATATTGAAGCTCCACTGCGTAGCAGTTATCTACATTATTATCAAAAACTTCCACCATGGAATATAATGGGATTTTTTTCATAGTCATCGCTGATATATATCTGTTTTTGAAAATGGTTAGCCTCGGTTCATCGGATGAGCCTTCCTAGGTCCCAGAGTTCCAGCAGCTGAGAGTGAAGCGATATAGAACTATAGATTCGTTCGTCCATTGGATGATGAAGTACTGCAAAAGAAAGTAAACTACCCTTAGCCGGTGCTGAGGTCTACAGCCTGGTATTGTCATAGGAGTATCTACCATGGCCTCTTCATACTCATTAGAGTTACTGAGGCAGAGAAACTGTTGGAAGTTCTCACGAGGCTCATACCGACGTGGCACAACGTGGTGATGGGAATTTACGTGTAAGTGATTTTGTAGGTGGGTGTTGATTATATGCTGTTGCTGCGCTTCCGTGTTTGCTGGGATTGTAGCTCACAATTTGGAGGAATGTCGTTGTTGCACCCGTGGTGTTTGTTATAACAATGGAGTTTGTTGACCCTAGTGATATGAAAAACACTAGTGAAAAACATATTTCACGACTACTGCATATCACCGTGAATATCGCGTTTTTCACCACGTAGATTGGGTGAAACTCCTTGCTGAGCACAATTCTGGCCGCCGAAACTCTTTGTGCCGTCACTGCGAATTTTACTACTGTCATTCACCCTAGTTGGATAAGTCATTGCGGCGGTGTTTCCGATAGATACGAGCAGTCCAGAGGTAAGGTTGGCAAACCGCTGCAAAGGAAGGTTGGACAGCACCTTCCAATACGACAGGATCCCCGCGTCACCATTGTGGAGACACTCGCGGTAGGCTGCCTGAAATCTGATGTGTTGGATGAGGAACGTGCTCTTAGGAGACTTGCCGTTGTGCAATTGCATCAGGCGCTGGAGTGGAGAATCCCTCAGTGCTGTCATCTACGCCTCTTCGATTGAACGAAAGTGCTTCACCGGATGTGTCAGTAGGCGAGTCGTCAGTACTCGGAACGACGACTAATAGTTCGAAGGAGAAGGCTTGATTATCAAGTGATTGATTATATAGGAGCTTAGCTGTTATTATGACGCGCATATTGGGCATTTGCCCGTGGTGAAAACGGCGCGCGTTGGATATATCGCCCAGCATGTCTGATGTTGTTATGAACACTTGCGTCAATTAAGTCCTTTTGCACTCCTTTGGTAGACTTTGGTTATCTCAGTTCACTCGGGATGGGGAAATAGTTAAAACGGTAGTTACCGTATTGGACTTGAATGAGTGTGAGAAAAATGTTCCTTCTTACAACTGATTACAGTGTGAAACTCACACACTGTGAGCGCCTCCACGCCTCCTCGTGGCGTGCAAGCCATAGTTTTTGAGCGCTCGATCACTTCCAGTGATTTGGGTCGCGGGTAAAGATTGCTGTTAGTCCACCACTTGAAGTGGTTAACTAACATCAATCTGCCACACAGACGCTTATCTTGTTAGTTGTTCGTTAACTAACAAAATGCCACTTCACGCCAACTGGCCTTTTGTTTGGGACGCTGCACTGCGTGTCGACCAACCCCACACTCGAAACCCAACCTTCTAACTTGGCAGATTCGAAACTGTCATTAACTCGGATCTAGTCCTCATAATACTACATATGCCTACACCACCAGAACCTGCCTCACTCCGTTACCGCTTTGACCTTCATCCAATCAAACTCAATGCTGCCACTAGTAATGAGTCATTACTAGTGGCAGCATTTTAGTCAGTACTAATGTTTATAAGAAGATATGTTTTCAATGTTTCAACGTGTTTATAAGTTCAACTAGAATAATAGCAATACAAGTACTTCAAGTTAGTCATGTATACTCAACTAACTCCACTTATTGGGGGTATCAATAGGGTCACAACTCGGCGTGTTTCGTATCTCGAACATAGCGGCCTCATTCGTCGAGTAAGCTCCTAAATGGTGGTGGAGTCAAAACGATTACGAGGCGCCCTTCCCTATGTGTGGATCATATTATGCTGCAGCTATCCCTTTACTGTAGCCGGTAGGATAAGGCCCTCCCCATCGACTTGTCCGTACCCAACCGACTAAACCCTATTCACATGCTGTTATGTTCCGCGCACGGTATTCCGTCCATGCAACGTAACTGTTGGAGGGATTAGTCCTCCCGATGAGCCTTTCGCTCGCCTTCTTCATTTTCGAGCAGCTTCGTACTTCCGTCATCAGCCCCCGGTTGGCAGGATGTCTCCCGAGGTCTATCGGAATGGCATGAGAGAGAGAGGATGTCGCGTAGGTGTGACGAGCTCATGGCTAGCAAAGGGGGTTCCCCTTCGAAGAACCGTGCATAGCAATCTACTCCCATATGCCCACACTTAGTAGACTCTGGTCACCGGGGTCCGGACCGGGCTGCCCGGTGCTGTAGTAGTCGTCTACGTCCTGTTTCTCCCAGGAGACTGGTCGGGCCTCCCGAGAAAAAGGAATACCCCAACCTTGTGGCATTCTCCTACTCAAATCCTTCTTAGTTGTGAAACATTCACTTCGTTGTAATGCGCAGCCGTCGGTGTGTTCTACTCCCATTACAACTGGTCACCACCCTCTCACTTCTATTCGTAGCAGCAAGAGCGTCTTCTGGATCCGTCGTGGTGTATGCAACGTACCATGGAGAATCCATGTTCTTCAGCCATTTCTTGAAGCTCCTCGACAGTAACTCGAAAACTGGTTCTGGCGTATCGTGGGTGGACGCAAGACCGCTTATGGCTAACTCCTGCCATGAGAGCTTGCCCGCAATCAATACGTTTGTCCTCTACCCGGCCTCCAAGGGGTGCCGCAGTGCGATCGAGAAAGTCTGCAAATTCATCAACTCGAACCCACAAGGCGTTGAGGCTGTCGAATGGTCGTGCAGCAGGGATGTTGAGCTACTTCGCAGTGGGGAAATTGTGGTAGATGATCCCAGCGACAGTTCGAGCACTGATCAAATATTCCAGTACCGTCAAGTACCAGCAAGTACCGAGTTGGGAGCCGTCCAGAAACGTCAATTTGATAAAGTTGACCTTGCGCGCGCATGGCGTGTGGTAAAGAACTTGAAACCTCCTCGACGAGACGTTACCGTAGCCGTGTTGAGCACAGGTGCTCCTGCGAGCTATAGCTACTTGCGTGGAGAAGTTGTGCGAACGTACAACTCTGTAGATGGGACAAGTGTCGTTGATGAGCATGGTCACGGCTCGGCCATGTTGAGTATCGTCGATGGTGTTTGTAACAACCAGGAATTCACCGATTGGAATAATGCAAGAGTGAAGTTGATCCCCATTAAAGTCGACACTGGTGAAACAGGAAGTGCCAAGTTGAGCAATCTCGTACGAGGCATAAATGAAATTGTTCAATTTGGCGGAGCCGATGTCGTAATTATTCCGTATGTTGCCGAGTCAGACGACCATTTAGACTTCCTGTTCAAGAAAGTCACTTGGAAGCTTAGTGGTGCAACGGTGGTGGTTCCCAGCCCTGATGCGAACATGGGATTCTCGAGCCATCTTATCACTCCTTGCCATCTCGCACTAAACCGGTTGGGAATGCTGTGTGTAGCATCAACTTGGAATGAGGATCCCACGAAGTTATACTCGAATCCAAAATACGATTATTATATTCATTTGGCGATGCCAAGTTCTGATGTTGCTACAGGAATCGTGAAAGATGGCTATTACTCTCATGTTCGCTTTCGTGGTGGTGGTGCTGCTGCAGCTCTGATAGGAGGAGTAGCAGCCCTTTTATCGAGCATCGGTACGACGAAGCAAGTTCCATATAATATCACCAAGGTACTCATCGACGCGTCTTGGAGGAATGTTATGGACAAGCGGGGACAACCAACTGATATCAACGTCACCGATGTCGGACGCGCGGTGGAGAAATGGTCACGACTCGCAATGCAGGGGGAGCTGGGCCAGATAGAGGTCTCCCCGCATGAGCTGGATTTAGATCAGAATGGAATTGCATATACTGATTTTTGAGTCGATGTTGTTCATGTTGCACAATCCATGATGTAGTTGTGTGTGCATTTATGGTGTCGAATGTTGCGTCAGAAGTGTTTGTGTGGGTAGTGCTGCTCACTAGGCAAAGTTAGTGCCTCCGTGCATATATACCGATTTCTTCATGAGGGATTGAACTGCTCAGCACGAGAGGTTGGGCGTAAGGCATAGGATGTACAGGGGTTGATCCGCCACGTCCTCTCTATTAAGAAAAAATATTGCTTCCACTTGAACGCATGCAGGAACTGATATCATTCCAGGCTATACTTTCACTCGATCCGCTTTTGAATCTCGAAGAAGCACATTAACAGAGCTGAAGCATACATTCTCAGTTTCTTGCTGATGACCTCATTCGATAATGGAAGTCACCTGTTGTAGTTGTTCAGAGTGCCCAACTATGGAATCTTAGCTTAGCTCGAAGCTAGTTGATGGTTTTATGAGTACGATTATAGATAGAATATCTAGATTCCATTTACCATTGCCTTGAGTTCCCAAATGGTTAACAGTGTTAACTTAACACCTGTTGACCCACAAGACCATGTCCTTGGGACATGGCAGTTGGCACAGACAAAATCATTGTGACTAGAAACGCAGTCTTGAGATGAGCTCATGTTTCTGATATCAGATGCATATGCTCTCCGATGCAGGACGAATAGTTGTTTTGTTGTCATGGTTTGGAATCGAGGTGGATTGCTTCACTGAGCGGCATAGCATGGGATGAAGGTGGTTCTCCAGCCTGTCCTAGTTCACCCGACAGTGCCGCAGAGTTCATACTACAGGCACAGTGCGATAAGTTTGTTAGTTCCATACGGTTCCGTATGGAACTAACAAGTGCGTGTTAGTGTCTATCGCTTCCGTGTAATAGACTACTACTGTGAGAAGGCCTGAAACTTCTCGCATACTTTAGCATTTTCAGTTTGAAAAGTTAAGTTGGAATTATTGACCATCATCTACACCTTTTCCCGTGCAAGTTTGACAAGTGAGCAGACAATAATGACAATGTTACTTTTAAGAGTGAGAATGAGAATCCAAGTATGTCACAATTCAATTCTGTTACAATCAAGTTTGACTTTGAGAATTCAAGTATGTCATAATCGAGATATGTTACAATCAAGATTGACAATGAAAATCCAAGTTTGTCACTTTTCTATTTTGTAGCAACCAAGATTGACAATGAGAATTCATGTTTGACACCGGCAAAGTATATTACAATCA